CCAGCTGGAAGATTAGACCGCTAATACAGTAATCGCTTCTAGGGCTTAAATTTGTTTCAATTGGAGTAAATATCAAGAAGGTTGTGTTATTCAATATTCTTCTAAGTTTTATATTAAAATTATTAGTTGTTTTAACACTTATTTAACATAATTTCAGTACACGGAACTAGTTTTTGGTGTGCCCATCAGCCACTTTACTCACCCACCAAGGCCTCAGTTTGTATCTCTGTTCAGTGGAGGAAACATCTTGCTTGTGGGTCTCTTGAACACAGAGAATTTTTACGTTTTTACAGTACAATTATTGGTCATTCTGAAATTTATTTAACAAATTGACAACATATATAGTGCAGTGCAGTGTTGACTTAAAAGAAAATAATCTTGAATTACACATAGATGTCAGGGAGGCCCTGACATCTATGGTGAATAGTGACAAGTGATTCACCGGAGGGCCACTAATGTGCCCTCTGCCTCAGAACCAGCCCCCATCCCCGTGTGCCTAGCCATCTCAGCTACTAACGTAAGTGTTAATCCTTGATTTTTCTTTTACCTGGTACAGTATATTATTCTCTTATTGATATTTCTCTTCTATATTATGTGTGTGCATACCATCATAAAATTAAGATACAATTTTTACCACAACGTACGTATTGTGTCGGAAAAAGTGGAGTTTGGGGGTCGGCCCAGTCACTATTTAAATTAATCCCTATGTTCTGTTATTTCGTTTACTCGTTCCTCACTTTCCGCGGTACCCTCCAGGTTACATTAACCGCGTAAAGTGAGGGTTAACTGTACAGTATTTTGGACAATGAAGCAACAGCCAATGTCATTTTTAGGGTTCAGAGTGCTCTTGTTTCATCTGTAAAGTATCCAAGATGTAATTCAGTGTTAGTACCTTGTAGATCACCATGCATGGTACTGTGATAAGAGACAGACAAGACACCACTTCCTCATTCAAGTCACATCACTCTATCCTCCTGTATCTCTTACTGAAGGTAAATTTCTTACACACTAGGCCAGGGTTGGGTTAGATTATGTAGGTTAGGTTTTTACAATGTTTTGTTGGCCAAATATTATAAAATAAAAGTTAAAATAACTCCAAAACTAAAAATTTCAGACATAAATGTTAGAATAAATTATTTATATTTTTTTCTATCTCCTCATATGACTTAACATTCCATTAGGTAGTGGCAACTTCTGGTAAATTTTTACAAGTGGACAGGCATGGATTTTTTGTTGATCAATGTGTTCTTCCGATGGCTTAGACTTTTGTTCTATGACGTTTCCCTCGCAAATGATTTAAAATTACTTAACCTAACTTCCTAACCATGGCCCCCCCCCTACGTCCCCTGGTATATTTAAGTCACTTGTGAGGGAAAAGTCGGTATTATTTTACTCTCGGACATAATGCCCCAGAAAGTTATAAACTACTGAAACATTTACATCTCGCGATTCTGAGCATTTTGAATCCCATATACTGTATAACAGGCAGAAATAGATAATAGCGACACAATTGAATTCAATTATTTTAATAGTTTTCAGTCCTTGTCTGTGAAGAGATACTATCGGCACATCAAGCATGCTCAATGTTGACCGACGTCGTCCAGTCGTGACCAATGAGGTATCGATATCTTCACGCGAATTTTTTTCAACCAATCACATCTGATTTTTTCAAAGGATGCAGCTTGAGCAATTTCATTGACCAGTCTCACAATGGCCTTGGTGGAGGTTAGTTCTCGTTTGTGCTCCTACGATTATTTTAAGTTTATTGGCGAGTTTTACGAGAGACGATCATTCTATCCAATTCTTACGTATCCCTGGTCCTTCCAGTTCTAACTAAGGTATTGTAGTTTGGACATGGCGTGCCCCAAAGTTTTTAACCACTGAAACATTTAGGTCTGTTTAAGCTAGGCCTCCCGCCCCCGGCTAGGGGTCAGGTTAGGCTTACCGGGGGTCTGGGAGCAGAGTCCCCGGCTAGGAGTTAGGTTAGGTTTTGTTAGGTCAGATGACTCTTTTTCGTTTTCTCCCTCACCCAAAAAACCCCGATTTCTCAGGCTCTCCCCCATTATTGATGGGGGAGTTGGGGGGCAAAAACTAGCAATTTCCGCCAAAAATGAAGGTGATTTGTTTATAACACACCAATATACACTGGGAAAACATATTGGTCAACCCCAAGGGACTTATGTCCTAAAGTAAAAAATTTTCCGGAGCGTCATAGAAGAAAAGTGTCTTAACATTGTCTAAACCAGGGGTTCTCAACCAGGGAATTGGGGGAAACTGATTCGGGAGCAAGAGATATGTTCGATGAGAAATCAATCACAGAATTTTGGCCCTTGATGTGCGATTCCTACCCAAAAGTGGCAGAAAGAGCTATCCGTGCATTGCTTCCGTTTGTGTCGACATATCTTTGTGAGTCAGGCTTTTCAACTCTGTTGCAAATTAAAACGAAGCAACGTAGTAGATTAGAGGTAGAAAATGACCTGCGTTGTGCCCTTTCAAGCACTCCTCCGCGTATCCCAGAATTGGCGAAGAAAAAACAATCACAGGTTTCTCATTGACTGTAATCTTCATCTGAATAAAATTAATTACAAATTTACAATATCCTGGTATTCTATTGAACTTTTTGTTTATTGCATTATGCTTCAGTTTGGTCTGTTAAGTAATTCATTATAAATAAAAAAAAACTATTTTACTTTTATTCAAGTTTTATAAATCCATCAACATTTTCAATTGGCATTTAATTTGTAAAACTCCACTATAAAAAAAATCCATGTAAAATTGTAAATGTATATGTACTAATATGGAAAAAATAAAGGATTTTCAGTATTATATGCATATTATTTGGAATGCACTTATTGAGGCAGACAATCTTGGAAAGGAGGGGGGAATGACATTCTGACATATGGTGAAAGGGGTGCATGGGGCAAACAAGGTTGAGAACCACTGGTCTAAACCATCGGAAAAATACATGGTTGTCCACTTGTAAAAATTTACCCAACTTCTAAATACAGTATTAACCTTTTTCTTATTTGTATTTTGCATACGTACACCTTTGAAAACTTTTATTTTGGTATTTTTGAGTTTAAACAATCCACATTCCTACCACTAATCTATTATCATATTCTAATAAGACGTCTAATTATAAGATCATTTTCATCTATTACATTACCGTCGCAGATGTATAATAACGGAGATGGCATATCCAAAATTTTCTCTATTTTCTTCCATTAATCTTCCGCCATTATCACCTACCTCACCTCTCACACTGCGTGTCTCCTGCGTTTCACCTTGATTAACCATCACGTGCAGGCGTTCCCGTACACGTCAAGCGACCAACCATTAGTGTTTTTTTCCCCAACCAATTAAAATGATTTGTGGTTTAATGCGCTGTATTTTTGGCCCAATCAAAATCGATTTTTATTTTGGGTCTCATATTTTGGAATTCAACTTCATTTCCAACCATGGAAGTCTGCAATGGGTATCACTTCAATTATATGGAGCTGATTGAGAGTTTTGGGGAAAAAACAAAGAAACTATAGAATTTTTTTGATCACATGGTGTTCTTCCAACCTCAGTAAAGTGTCTTAAGTGCAAGGCTGAATGTAAATACCGCAAAGTACAACATATGTGGCGTTGTGTAAGAATCTCAGAATCCAACGACGAACAAGAACCAGTCCAATAAGGTAAGAAATAGGTGATTCCATCATATGGTGAGAGTCAGTTAGGTTAGATTAGGTTAGGTTTGGTTTTTGCTTTTCTAGTGTGTTTTCGGGTATTTTTTATTCGCTTGGCCATTAATTTTTTTTGAAAAACGTTCCACGAAAAAAAATCGGTATTATTGCATTTACACACCGTTCATTCCTACCACTAATCTATTATCATATTCGAATATGAAGTCTAATTATAGGATAATTTTCATCTATTACATTACCGGCGGAAATGTATAATAACGGAGATAGCTTATCCAAAATTTTATCTATTTTCTTCCATTAATCTTCCGACATTATCGCCTGCCTCACCTCCAACACTGCGTGTCTCCTGCATCTCCTTCATAAATCATCACGCCCATGCGTTCCCGTACACGTCACACGGCGAATCAAAAGCGTTTTTGTTTTTCAACCAATTAAAATGATTTGGGGTTTAATTCGCGGTATATTTGGCCCAATAAAATTCGAGTTTTATTTTGGGTTTCTTATATTTCGAAATTCAAGTTCAGTAACTTCAGTTCCGACCATGGCAGTCTGCGATGGGTGTCACTTAAGTTATATGGAGCCGATTGTTAGTTTTTTGGAAAAAGACGAAGAAACTATAGTATTTTTTCGATCGCATGGTGTTCTTCCAACCTCAGAAAAGTGTACTAAGAGCAAGACAGAATGTAAATATTGCAAAGACGGTGTGTAACAATCTCAGAATCCAACGATGAACAAGAACCAGGCCAATAAGGTAAGAAATAGGTGATTCCATCATATGGTGAGAGTCAGTTAGGTTAGGTTAGGTTTGGTTTTGGTTTTTCTAGTGTTTTTTGGTGTATTTTGCCATGATTGTTTTTCAGAAAACGTCCAACGAAAAAATATTCGAAAAAACCCACTAATTTTCCCCAGAATTGAAGGTCATATTCGGTCTAAACACACACAAATACACTAGAAAAATATATTTTTGACTTTCTAACAGAGTGGGAGGTGGAAGTGCAAATTTACCTTTATTTTTACTTCTGTGACTATTTACATTATTTTCATACTAACATTTCCTTGCTCCTCTAACATTGCTCATGAGATGTTTGCCTTTCCCCCTCAGAGGGCCCATATTGTTCATCTCCTGGGTCACACGAGCACTTTTCTTGTTATCAATGGACACATTACCCAGTGTTACATCACATAGTATATAAACACACAAGAATCTTATCAACAAGAGACAGAAAATAAAACTTGATAAAATAATTTCATTAGTTTCCCTAAATGGCTTCAACTAGCAACTAGGTTTGACCCATTATTTCTGATACTTACTGTATTATACATTTACCAATACTTCATCTATTCAATAATTCATTACTGATGTCAGTGTATATATACCTTATCGATATGTAGGGTGATACCATTATATGTTATGGAGGTAAAACAGAAGACGAAGAGCAGCCTGCAGCGTTTGTTGTTGTGGCCATTGTGCCAGTTCTTCTCTCAACTTCCAGTCACACCCAGTGTTGCCAGTTCCTCTGAGTCCTCTTCTGCCAAACTTCCCTAGATGAGCCCTCAAAAATTACCTTTTTGTCTCAAAGTTTCCAAGGTGTATATATATATATATATATATATATATATATATATATATATATATATATATATATATATATATATATATATATATATATATATATATATATATATATATATATATATATATATATATATTTCATGTAAATCCACAATGGAAACGTGGATAAGATAAATCTTGATAAAATCACACGTTGTTTCCATTTTCCCGTGTGATTTTATCAAAATATATATATATGTGTGTGTGTGTGTGTGTGTGTGTGTGTTTTTCACCAACTGAATGTATGAACTAAACATCTTCACAACTAATGTTATTTGAACCTGTCCATCTTATTTCACCTAAAGCCAGAATGTTCCACAACAATCATTTCATCTCCTTACAAACATTTGTATAATTACCAGCCTAATATAATGTCCTTACATTCCCTGTTCCAATCTTGATGTTGTGCTTGTTCATTCTTAAGCCTTCTGTAGTTGTGTTTGGTGTTCAAAACATTGTTTTGCTCGGACAGTACTTGGTAGTCCTGGGTGGCTCACTGCGGTTGGACCTTAGGTCAAGGTTTTACGCCGGGGTGCTCCTGCTTAACACAATTACTCAAGGTACTGAATATTTGGACCCATATTCTGGAACAGGGTGCCAAGACTTTACACAGTGTAACCCCATGAAAGGCTGAAAATTAAACTGAAAGGGTACGGAATTCTGGGAAATGTCCTCGCGTGGATAAAAGACTATGTACTTTTACTTTCACTTTTATCCTCTTCAACACTGATCGGCTCGTTAGCCACCTGGGCGATCGGTCACGCCTCTATCACGCACTGTTGGCAAGTACTGGGCATGCACTGGCTCCTGAATGTAACTGAACCCGCTCTAGTGTTGGTCAAGTCAGGTCTTGAAAGAGCTCACACTCGGTGCCGTCACAACACTTTCTGGTAGATTGTTCCAAGAGTTCACAACTCTCACTCCGAAAAAATTTGCCCCTCACAGTTTTCTGGACCTGCGACTTCTTCAATCTTGAGGTGTGACCCCTTGTGGGACGAGCGTCCGCCAGCTCCAAGTAAGGACACTCGACTGAGTAGTGCCCCTTGAGATGCTTATACACCTCAATTAGGTCGCACCTTGCCCGTCTGTAGTATAAGCTAGGCAAGTTCAGGCGCTCCAATCTCTCAGGGTAGCTGAGGTGCCGAATTGCAGGCACCAGTCTGGTGGCCCTCCTTTGAACATTTCAACCAACTGACAGTCCCCAGCATATCTCGGGGACCAGACGGGGTGACAGTGTAAGGGCATAACTTTCCTTATTTTATACTATCCTTCAGATTTATTCCATTTCATGTATTTCTTTTCTTTTATTCTTCAATATATTTATATTCTTTATATTCTTCTTTCTTATATTCTTATTTATTTATTTTCTTGCTCATACTTTTATCCTCTTCACCACTGATCTGCTCGTTAGCCGCTTGGACGATTGGTCACGTCTCTGATTACTTTTCCTTTTCTTTTATTTTCTTCACCAAAAGATCGGCTCGCTAGCCGCCCGGGCAATCGGTCACGTCTCTGTCGCGCACTGTTGGCACGTACTGGGCATGCACCGACTCCTGAATGTACCTGAACCCGCTCCAGTGTTGGTCAAGTCTTGTCTTGAAAGAGCTCACGCTCGGTGCCGTCAAAACACTTTCTGGTAGATTGTTCCAAGAGTTTACAACCCTCACTCTGAAAAAGTTTGCCCTCACAGTTTTCTGGACTTGCAGCTTCTTCAATCTTCAGCTGTGACCCCTTGTGGGGCGAGCGTCCGCCAGCTCCAACTAAGGACACTCGATTGAGTAGTGCACCTTGAGATGCTTTTACACCTCAACTAGGTCACCCCTTGACCGTCTGTAGTATAAGCTAGGCAATTTCAGGCACTCCAATCTCTCAGGGTAGCTGAGGTTCCAAAGTGCAGGCACCAGTCTGGCGGCCCTCCTTTGAACATTTTCAATCAACTGACAGTCCCAAGCATATCTCGGAGACCAGACGGGGTGACAGTACTACAGATGGGGAAGCACTTCACTCCTGAAGATCGTAATGAGGGACGGACCGTCTAGATATTTGAACGACCTTCTTATAAGACCCAATAATTTATTTGCCTGATTTACCTTCTTCTTGCAATGGCCCGAGAACTTCAGCTCATTGTCAACATAAACACCCAGGTCCTTCTCACATCCAGTCTCAAATAGTGCAGTTTCTTTATCCCATTGGAACATATGATACGCCTCCTTACCGTTGGTACGCCCCGGGTGCATCCCCTTACACTTCGTGACATTGAATCTCAGCAGCCATTTCTCCGACCATTCTTGGAGCCCACAGAGGTCCTTCTACAGCTCTTCACAGTCTGCTTGGTTCTTGATTTCCCGAAATAACTTGGCGTCATCGGCAAACATTTGTATTGAGGAGTGTACAACGTCAGGCATGTCATTTATAAAACAAACAAACAACAGCGGGCCCAATACACTGCCCTGTGGTACCCCACTTGTGACAGGTACGGATGACGATTTCGCCTGACCTGTGGCAACTGAGTTTCATATTTAAATGTACAGCAATTGAGGTAAATGTAATTTCTGTCATTGCGTGAGTAGCCATTTCTGGCATGTGTTGAGTTACCAGTTAGCCGTATATAAGCTCCTGCGCAGGAGAGACGTCAGTTCTCCCTGACGTTCTCCAACGTTATCTCAGGTATGTGTAAGATTCCCCGAACGCCATGTTGAGTCAGTTTAACTCAGTGAATTTTGTGAACATCAGTGTTCATGTTGTAACAGTAAAATTGTCATTTACCCAGTGTAAGAATTACTATACAGTAAATGTCGTGTGTTGTTGGTAGACGAAAGATTGTTTGTGATTGAATTATTTTCACTACTTCTCCCTGACGTTCTCCAACATTATCTCAGGCACAGTGTGTGTGTTAGCTGAATACCCCACCGGCTGCAGGGAATTTGTAGCTACCTAATAGTTAGCTGTATTGGACGATGTCGTTAATTCGGCAGGATTAAACTGCTCAAGTCCGCATCCTGGGAACTAGACCCCAGACTCTCGCCGGGGGTCAGACTACAACCGACCATAACAGCGATCTTCATTTGTGTGGAGACACCAGTGTTATACCCTGGGAGACCCCTTACAGTTATATGGGCCACAGTATTATTGCTATATGTGATGAGGGATAATTAGCGGAAATATAATTATCTCATGTTGAGTAGTGAACCCATAAAACTTGATAGTACCAGTAATAACGTGTTATGTGATGTGAGTGCATCCTCCATATGTACTACCAACAGTTCTAGTGAAGGTACTATATGTAGACTTGTCATGTGGTGTGTTCTCTTAAATGTACAACCAGTAATGATGTACGAAGCAAGAGTGTCTAATTAGAATTGCAGATGAGTAACGCCAAGGAGTTAAACCTTGTAGTTGTATGTTAATGACACCTTTAACCAAATTTAATTTCATATTAATAAACCATGTTTAGAGTATAATAGGGGTATCATTTTCCCCCAGTATCTGCTGTAGGTTATGTATATAAGCTACTGTGCCAAGTAGCAACCTTGTATATAAGCTACTGTGCAGAGTAGCAACCCTGTATATAAGCTACTGTGCCGAGTAGCAACCTTGTATATAAGCTACTGTGCCGAGTAGCAACCCTGTATATAAGCTACTGTGCCGAGTAGCATTTATATATATCATCACGTGGCAACACTGCACGATATGTGGCAACATTGCCCCGAGGCTGCCATATGGCAAGGCAGTCTCAGTCTGACTGTGTGAGCCGTGCATGGCACACGCAAGTCACCACTTGTATTTCTCTCATCCATAATAAACGGACTTCAGTGTTACACAGTGTTTCCCTACCCATCACTGCATTCTTTGGGGAACACTTGTAACCACCATCTGCCTTTATTCTTGTCCAATAACTTGATACCAGAATTACAGAACCCATGTGCCCTAACCCTCGCCATGCTATCAAAGGTCAGAGGTTACGAAGTAACTATATGAAATGAAATAATTAGACAGAACAAATGAAGGAAATAAGACAAAGAAATAAGTATGAAATAAGAATATAAGGGATAAGAAGAAGAAAACTCCCCGCCCTTATACGAGAACTTCAGCTCATTTTCACCATACACACCTAGGTCCTTCTCACATCCAGTCTCAAATAGTGCAGTTTCTTTATCCCATTGGGACATATGATACGCCTCCTTACCGTTGGTACACCCCAGGTGCATCCTCTTACACTTCGTGACAATGAATCTCAGCAGACATTTCTTCGACCATTCTTGGAGCTCACAGAGATCCTTCTGCAGCTCTTCACAGTCTGCACGGTTCTTGATTTCCCGAAATAACTTGGCGTCATCGGCAAACGTTTGTATGGAGGAGTGTACAACGTCAGGCATGTCATTTATGAAACAAACAAACAACAGCGAGCCCAATACACTGCCCTGTGGTACCCCGCTTGTGACAGGTACAGATGATGATTTCGTGCCTCTAATCACCACACACTGCTTGCTGTCATGAAGAAAGTCTTCTATCCCCATATTCCGTACCCTTCCAGTTTGATTTTCAGCCTTTCGTGGGGTACTCTGTCGAAAGCCTTCGAGGGCCCTCCAACGGGCGGTGGCATCCTCAGAGACCCTCCCAGTGTTTGTGGCACACCCAGGAGGCCCTTCCAGGAGCAATGGCACTCCCAGGGGCCCTTCCAGGAGTGTTAGCATCCCCAAGGTCCTTCCAGGGTCGGTGGCACCCGTAGGGGCTCTCCCGTCGGCGATCTCAGAGGCAGCGGGGACCCCAGGGTCCCTGCCAGAGCCGGCGGCGCTCCCAGGGGCCCTACAAGGAAGGAGTGCGCTCCAGGGGCACACGCAGGGGCCCTGCCAATGGAGGTTGCACCCTCAGGGGCCCTGCCAGGTGCGATGGTGGTCTCAGGAACCCTCCCAGGGGCGGTGGCGCCTCCAGGGTTCATCCCAGGAGCAGCGGCGCCCGCAGAGGCCCTCCCAGGGGGATTTGTGCCCTAGGGGCACACCCGGGGGCCCTGTCAATGGAGGTGGCAGCCCTAGGGGCCCTGCCAGGGATGGTGGCGGTCTCAGGGGCCCTCCCAGGGGCGGTGACACCCCCCAGGGGCCCTACCAGGAGCGGATATCACCCCCCGGTTTCCTATCAGGGGCGAGGGCACCACTAGGGTCCCTACGAGGAGCGGTGGCAGCCCCAGGGTCTTTCCAGGGGCGGTGGCACCCCCAACGGCCCTCCCACCGGCGACCCCAGGGTCCCTCCCAGGGGCAGCGGAGATACCAGGGGTCCTTCCAGGGGCGGTGGCCCTCCAAGAGGCGGCGGCGCCCCCAGGGGCCCTTTTAGGGGGGTTTGCGCCCCAGTGGCACACGCAGGGGCTCTGCCATTAGAGGAGGCACCCCCAGGGGCGGTGACGGTCTCAGAGCCCCTCCCAGGGGCGGTGGCGCCCTCAGAGGCCCTTCCAAGGGCGGCGGCGCCACCAGGGTTCGTTCCAGGGGTAGCAGTGGCCCCAGGAACCCTCTCAAGGGCAGCGTCACCCCTGGTGGCTTTGCAGGGACCGAATCGCCCCAGAAGCCCTCGTAGAGGCAGCAGGGCCAACAGGGGCCCTCCCAGGTTTGGGGTTGCGCCCGTGGGGCCCTGCCAATGGAGGTGGCACCTTCAGGGGCCCTGCTAGGGGTGGTGGCGGTCTCACGGGCCCTCCCAGGGACGGTGGCAGCCCCAGGAGCCCTACCCGAGGCGTTAGCACCCCCAGGGGCCCTCTAAGGGGCGGTGGCACCATCAGGCGCCATCCCAGAGGCAGTGGCACCCCCAGGGGCCTTTCCTGTGGCAGTGGCACCCCCAGAGGCTTTGCCATGGGCGGTGGCTCTACTAGGGGCCCTCTGAGGGGCGGTGACACCCCTAGGGCCTTCTTAAAGGCGCCGGCGCCCTCAGGAGCCTGCCGAGGGGCGGTGGCAGCCCCAGGGACCCTCCCAGGGTTTGTGATACACCCAGGGGGTCCTGCCAAGAGCAGTGGCACCCTGGGGGCTCTCCCAGGTGAGTTGGCATCCCTAGGGTCCTTCCAGGGCGGTGGCATCCCTAAGGGCCCTCCCAGGGTCGGTGACACCCCGAGGGGCCATTCCAGAGGCGGTGGTACTCCCAACGGCCCGGCCAGGAGCAGTGGCGCCCTCAGGGACCTCCCAGGTGCAGTAGAAACCCCAGGGGCCCTCTCAGGGGCAGTGGTACTTATAGGGGCCCTCTCAGGGGAACCGGCGCCCCTTAGGACCCCCAGAGTCTTTCAAAGGCCCTCTTAGGGGCGCCTGCGCCAGGTGTGGTGGAACCCCAGGGGCCCTCCCAGGTGCGGTGGCTCTTCCAGGGGCCCTCCCAGATGCGGTGGCACCCCTAGGGCCCTCAGAGGCCCTTCCAGGGGCAGTGGCACCCTGGGGGCCCTCTCAAGTGGTGCTAATACCAGCAGGGGCACTCCCAAGGTCGGTGGCCTCCTTAGGGGGCTATCCAGGGTCTATGGCACTTTTAGGGGGTTCCAGCAGCACTGCCAGGGGCTTTGGCGTCCTCAGGGTGGTGGCACCCCCAGAGAATCAGCTAGGAGCGGTGGCTCCCTCAGGGGCCGTCCCACGAGTGTTGGCACCCTCAGGGTCCTTCCAGGGGTGGTGACAACCCCAGGGGTCCTGCCAGCGGTGGTGGCACTCCAAGGGGTCGTCCCAGTTCTCCTCTCAGGTCTGCAGATGCCCCCAGGTGCCCTCCCAGGGGCGGTGGCAGTTTCAAATGTCCCAAGAGGCCCTGCCAGTGGCGTTGGCACTTCCATAGGAAGTGGCATCTAAAGGGGCCCTGCCAGGGGTGGTAGCACCCCCTGTGGCCCTCCCACGGTCTGTAGCATCCCCAGAGGATCATCCTGGGGCCCTACCACTGGCTGTGGCAACCCCAGGGGCCGTGATGCCCTCAGGGGCCCTCTCAGGGGCGGTGGCACCCACATGGGCTCTCTCAGGGGCCTTGCCAGGGGCGGTGGCACCCCCAAGGACCCACCCAAGGGCGGTGGCATTCCCAGGGGCCCTCCGAGGGACGGTGATACGCCCAGGAGTCCTCCCAAGGGCGTTGGCTCCACAGGGAACTCTCAGAGGCTGTGGCTCCGCTGTGGTCTCTACCGGGGGATGGCACCCCCAGTGGTCTTGCAGGGGGGTGGCACCCCCCTGGGTACTTCCCAGGAGCATTTGTACTCCCTTTGGCCCTCCCAGGGGCGGTGGAACATCCAGGAACCGTTCCAGGGACGGAGACACCACCACGGGCCTTTCCAGGGGTGTCGCCGCCCGCAGGGGCCCTTCCAGAGTTGATGGCACCCCGAGAAGCCCCCCAGGATCAGTGTGCAACCCCTAAGAAGTGCTCCTGGGTGCGCCGCCGCCCCTGGGAGGGCAGTTGAGGTCATCACTGACCCTTGGCAAGTCCCTGGGGTCGCCACCACCCCTGGAAGAGCCCCTGGGGTCGCTGTTGACCCTGGTATGGCCCCTGCCGATGCTGCCGCCCCTGGAGACACCACCGCCCCTGGAAGGGCTGCCGCACTTGGAACGGCCGCTGGTAGTTCCTCCGTCCCTGGCAGGGCCTCTGGTGGCACCATCGCCCCTTGAGGGCCCCTGGGGGCCATGCAGCCTTTGGGGGGGCCCTGCAGTCGCTGCCGATTCTGTGAGGGAACCTTGGGGCGCCACCGCCCTTGGAAGGGTCCTTGGGGGCGCCACCGCCCTTGGCAGGGCCCCTGCTAGGGTCCCTGTGGCCGCCACCGTCAATGAACTTGTCTCCTGGAGGCACCACAAACCCTGAGAGGTTCCCTGGGAGCACCGCCGCTCCTGCAAGAGGTCTTGAGGTTGTCACCACCTCTGGATGGGCCTCTGGGTCATCGCTGTTGCAAAGGAGAACCCCTGGGGGGTCCTTGGAGGCGCCATTGACCCTCGGAGGACCCCTGGGTGCGCCACCGCCTCTGGGATTGTCCGTGGAGGCGTCGCTGCCCCTAAGGACAACCACTGGGGGGCTCCGTTTCTGGGAGGGGCCCTGGGGGCGCTACTGACCCTGTGAGGTCCTCTGGGGGCACTGCCGCCCCTGAAAAAGCCACTGGGGGCGCCGCTGCCCCTAAGGAGAACCCCTTGGGGCGCCGTTGCTCCTGAAGGCACCACCGCCTCTGGGAGGTCCCCTGGGGATTCCCTTGCCTTTGGGACGGCCTCTGGGAGCGCCGCCGCCTTTGGGATGGCCCCTGAGGTCGCAGCCGCCCTTGAGTGGGTCCCTGGTGTCACCGCCGCCCCTGTGAGGGTCCCTGGGTCACCACCGCAACTGGGAGGGCCCCTGTATAGAGGGCGTGGAGGAGGGGTGTGGGTATGGCGGCCGTGGAGGAGGGATGTGGGTATGTAGGGTGTGGAGGAAGGGTGTGGGTATGGAGGGCGTGGAGGAGGGATGTAAGTATGGAGGACATGGAGCGTGTGGCTAGGACTGGAGGAGGGGTGAATGGAGGGCGTGGGGGAGTGGATGGAGGCGTGGAGGAGGGGTGTGGGTATGGAGGGCGTGGAGGAGGGGTGTGGTTATGGAGGGCGTGGGGGAGGGGTGTGGCTATGGAGGGCGTGGGAGAGGGGTGTGCAGATGGATTGATTGATTTTGTCGCTTACAGCGGCTACTTTATGGTACACCCCATACTCATCCTGTGAGCGGTAGCGCAAAAGGATTACAGAGTAGAGTTTACACCGGGTCATAATAATTAACCCCCGTGGTCAGGATATTATGGCACTGAATGTTACACAGTATTTCAATTACAGTATTTGTTTAGTTCTATACATAAAGGGTAGCTTATTCACAAATGCGCGAGTACAGGCGTGTGAGGCAGTATGTCTGGCCGCACACTTTGTTATTCACATTTGCCTGAGAAGTATTCAAGGACAAAGTGTGTTTGGTTCTATACATGGGAACTGATATAGTTACTACGTGCAAAAAAGTGGATACAATCTTAATATGTCAGCTATCTTGCCATTAGAGATGAAGTGTTGTGCCAGTTCACACACAGTGTGCTTGTCCCTAAAAAGTTCTATATTCACACAGTCGAGGACGTTGTGTTCAAGTGTGTGGCCACACACTTTACATTTAGTCTTGTTTACATCTGCTAGAGGAACATAATGCCAGATGTACTTATATCCTAACCTAAATCTAGCGGTTACAACATCTTGTAATCTAGTGATCTTGTTACTTCCTCCATATACATGTTTCACTTGATACATCTCATCATGGTAAACTATGGATCGACTAGTTTGCACTTGTATGCTTGCATTAAATTCATCAATAGGTTCTTTCCTCATTACAGTTTTAAGGGTTCATTTTGATAAACCCATATTGTATTCAACGGTGTCTTTGATAGACGCGAGTTTGGCGAGAGTATCAACTCTGTCATTGTTTTATGAGGCCTATGTGAGAGGGGATCCACAACAGTTTGACCTTGACACACCGTTCAACAAGGTACGCATATTTGTGTCAGCTTCAGAGACAAGAAAGTGACAACTTGAGTTGAGGGTGTCAAGGGCAAGTAGTGAGAATAGAGAGTCAGTGATGATGAGACCGTCAGTAACAGTGGTTTCAATTAATTTAATAGCTGTGAGTATGGCAACTAATTCAGTTTGCAGAGTGGAACCCCAGTTGTTAATTCCAACTCCTTTCTCAATTATATTACTGGCAGGTTGAGTCACAACAATAGCACTTTCAGCCCTCCCACAGGCGGTGTTAAGAGATCCATCAGTGTAGATGGTCTGTGTGATGTTATTATCAGTCTGTAGAGTGTGTATGTGTTCAAGAGCTCCCACTTTGGCAGTGTGGTAGAGATAAATACTATTTATAATTAATTTTTTCGGCGGATATGTCGGTATTGTGATATCGAAGAGAACTGTCCGTCAGAGTGGAAGGAAGTGCTGTGTCTCAACTTTGTATAGATGGTCTAGTCCAAACATCTTCATGTGTATAGCTGTAGTTTGGATCCATTTAGATTCACCAGTCCCATGGTTCATACATTCTAGCAATTTTAAGGAAACAATGTTATCAGTATACTGCCAGACAGGGGGTCACTAATGCTAAGGGTAAATACTTAACTCTAATCTTAATTTCAAAGGGTCGCTGCCACCAGACTCCCTCTGGACAGCATGTAGCTCGTTAGGTAGCGTGCAGAGTGGACTAGGCATTGGGTTAAGTTTTCCATTGACCAGATCGATAAGGGGAAAGAAGGGTGAAACCATAACATGTCTTAATTAAATTATTCCTTATAAAGCGTACTGGTAAAAAACATACAAATGAATTGGTCTTCCTCAGAAGAACAACGAAAATGTTGGTTACCCAGATGGGCACCAGACGTCTTACATTAATGGTGTGTCATCCACATCCTTATTGCATAACAATCTAAGACCACCTTACCTCGGTCATTCCTTCTTACACTATCCCTTAACACATCAGACAGCTCCACCTGTATGGAATATAGCACCGTCGGTTATCATACATAGTAGAACCATCTCAACACACGTTACACTCCACCCCTGCAGGTATGGGACTCCTTGTAACTTTTAGGTATACACAACAGGCACCTCGTTCGCACACCGTCCTCGGTGGGTAAAGACGAGGGTTTCACCCAGAGACATACCAGTACTATTTCTACGCCTGGTATTATAGGTCGCTCCAAGTGACGACCGCAGAGTTTCTCACGGTCTCCTTATTTGTTACTACTCATTTGGAGTGGTGTGCTGGAAATACACAGGTTCACAGTGGATTGGCATAGCTGGGAGTAGTCACCACCTGTTGGGATGCTCACAGGGATAATGGCTGCCGCCCAGCAAGGCACTCCGACCGCATGGAACCTGAGGTGACGGTAGAACGAAAGGGACTGAATAATAATGTCTGACGGGCGGTTATCACACGCCCTAACACATTACTATTACACTTATACATCAGGCAAAGCTTTAAACTGTAATAACTTCTAAATAAGCCTTAATTATAGGGCGGGATATAGCCCGATAGGACACTGACCTGAGGTGACGGTAGAACGAAAGGGACTGAGGGCAGTGCCCCGCCGCTCGTCACCACGTAGGCCTACAGTTTCCAATCTTTAATTTGTACTTTTATTTCTTACTGTTCTCACCTGAACACTTTTCGGCATATTGTCACTCATGATTATGAACACATATTTTAACCCTAAAGTACAAACTAAGGTAAGGTTCTGGTTTGCTAATTCGTGGTTTCCAGACCATTGTTCTCATGTATTTTCATATGATATCTGTGGAAGTTATGTTCGCTACACGTTCACAGACGTAAATAGTATGACCTTCAAACCCTGATCCACACTTAGTCTCACAGTACAGGTAGTTCTCCTATAACGCGATAATTGTGTTCATGTAAAATATCGTGTTATAGAAAATCGCGTAATAGAAATAACAGGGCTTATGGAGAAAATAGGGTTAGGTGCAGATTACTCGAAATCGAAAAAATTTAGTAGTTAGCCTAATACAAAGGATAGCACAGTCTAAATAAATGTTACATTCACATCTAATAATGAATTCATACAGTAAATGTAACACTTTAGTTGATGGGGGAGAAGGGTGATTTTGAGGTTGATAAAATCGAGCTTCTCTTCAAGTGTTATATCCTTTCTTTTACGATCATCACCGGGAATTCTATCACCAGAACGCTTCTCGTTGATATTCTTTACTATATTCACAGTTAATACAGTGGGGTATGCTATAACGAACGAAACTCCTACAACGAACATTATTTAATTTTTTTTTTTTTTCTAATTTATTGTTTTTTTATTACAAATATTAATGATATTCTTTATTTCAGGGGTTTAGATGCATATTTATGCACTTTTTTTACAATTTTTACAATTTTATATTTTATTTTTCAGTGTTAAGTGGTTGTATTTGGGGGCCTGGAACGGATTAATCCTATAACGAACGAATGCTATAACAAACAAGGATCTAGAACCAATTAGATTCATTATAGCATACCCCACTGTACCACAAAATTGGAGATATAGTAAGCAAAAATCGCGTTATAGCAAACAACCGTTCGCTTTATACAAATATCGTTCCTAATTCATAAATCGCGTTAGAGCAAATTCGCGTTAACAAAACACGCGTTATAGCAGAACTCATTGTACACTAGTCCGGCTCAACTGGACTTTAACATTCATCTTATGGATACCCTGAGTTCTCCTTAATGCTATGAATACATACAATTAATATTATATAACTGTACCTGGGTACAATACAACACATGGTCTAGTAACATTGAGTAGGTGAGTTATCCTTTATCAATGTTTCCCGTTTTC